CACACACACACATCCTCCTGGCCAGTCCCCCCCACCCTCCCATCTGAGATCAAGTGTGTCCGGTATTTTTTCTTTTTTAAGCCACCTGGTATCCCTAAATATAGACCATTCCAAGAACTGCTTATTACCTTCATCGTACTTGGTAACATCCAATCAAAGGATCAGAGAAAAGTGCTTCAGAAAAATTATCACCCTCTGATGGTATATTCAAATTAAATCTGTCACATCACAGCTCTTATTTACAATGCTATATAATGATTTACTATGTAATGAATGGACAGTGAAAAGATGCATACCAGAGTGAAGCATTATGGACTATGAAAACTGAAACACTGGACATGTCCACCAGATGCATTTATGGAAACTATCTGATGTTTGTAATAAAATTGCCTCACTTTTTCTGTTATGAGATGACACTTCTTAATGTCACTCAAATAGTGCTTTGGTTAACACAAGTTTAAAAATGTATTTCTGTCAACATACAGTTGCTATCAGTCACAACTGAGGCATTGCAAAAGACTGAAATGATTCAGTTCAAGTCACCAGAGAACCTGGGGAAGAGAGTTAATTATTTAGACACACAGCCATGGCTCTGTTTTGTGATTTTTTTTAAAAAAGATTGGTCAATGGATAGTTTAATCTTTCACAGACTATTTGCCTGCAGTTGTGTAAACTATGACTGGTGTACACTCTTCTCCATGGCACTATTTGGATAGATAGAATGGACTGGTCAGAGCTCCTCTAGACCACTGAACATCAGTGAACCTTATCTTTGGGTTTTCTATAGCATCCAAGCACATTTTATAAAAAACTATTTTTCAGTAATAAAAAAAAAATTAAAAAATCACATCTGATGAAGTGGGTCTTTGCCCATGAAAGTGTATGCTCCAATAAATCTGTTAGTCTATAAAGGTTCCACAGGACTTCTAATTGTTTTCGCAAATTCAGACTAACACGGCAAACCCTCTGATATTTTTCAGTAAAATGATGAAAAGATCAAATGTACTGTTTTTGTTCTATGCAGAAGGTTGGACAAGAAGGCCTAAGGGGAAATGTACGCACAAAAATTAAGATTTCAATGACTCAAAAATTAAATATACATATGAAGTAAAAAATCAGTTTCCTGACATCATGATGCAGGAATACACTTGCAAATGATGTGGGATTTCAACTGAATACTTCTGAATAGAAGCCATACGTTAAAAACAGAACTTTCTGAAAATTTACTCCATGC